GCCGTGGGTCGCTCTGTGGGGCCCGGGCTGCTGGGGGCGGCGTCCCGGGGGGCGCCCAGGAAGAGGCGCCGCACCAGCCCCCGGCCCTTGCCGTCTTCTTTGTTCACGGAAGCCTTGCAGTCCCGCTTCTGGCGGTAGAAGATGAGGGAGTCAGGCCTCGGCAGCCGCCTGCCACTGCCCCGGCGGGCGGGCCCGGGCGTCCTAGGCGATGCAGGCGGCCCCAGCTCATTGCAGGGATGTGGGGTGAGCGGACCAGGACCCCCTCTCAGGGCTGGCTCCTGTCTCCGCGCTATCACCTGGTGCGTCTTGACGTACTTGGCTTTGTCGGCCTCCAGCCTCTCCACGGCGCTGGGGGTCCGTCCCCTGGACGGGGCGGAGGGAGAGGCCAGGAGCATCTTAGCAGAGTTGGGCAGGACAGTGTCCCATAAGCCGCTGGCGGTACGCAGCTAGCTGAGGAGTCAAGAGCAATTGGCTCGGGTTCCCTGGTGTCTGCATGGAGAGAGAAATGGCCAGGGAGAGGGTAGATGTCCCTGCCCTTCCCCTGCAGGCATTCCTGGGAATAGGATCAGCCAACCACCCCGCCCCCATCCAAGTCAGCCGGTGCCATGTCCAGGCGAGCAAAGGTGCAAGCATTCCCTCCCTCCGCCCTTCAGAGACATTGGGTGGGGGCTCTCTGGCCACCCACAAACATATGCCCCTTTGAGGGTGCCCCAATCTGGCCACAGGGCCGTGCACGCAGGCATCAGCAAGCAGGACACTTGGAAAAGGAAATGGACCTTGTCCGGGCCCAATTCCCGAAAGTGGCCTTTACCGGAAAAAATACCTCTTCTCAACTCAGCAGCTTTGAACCCAAGACAAGGAGGCTCTCCAGCCACAGGCTGGCTCCAGCAGGGCCCACCCTTCCCGCCCCCGAGCACCGAGGTCGCGGATATAACCACAGGGTAGGAGCCTCCAGTAATTGCAGTCAACTGCCCTGCCCAGGCCCAGCAGGGCCATCCAGGAAGGAGGAGGAGGTGGTCCCCGGGTCGTGTCAGCCAGCTACTGCCAGCCTCTCTGTGCCCCTGCCAAGGGGATTCCAAAACACTCAAACTGTAAACACCACCTTTTCTAACCTCTGCATTTCCGTTTTATAGAAGAGGAAACTGGCCGAGGGAGGAGGGGGGCTTGCTCAGGTCCTGCTGAGAGTCAGGGGCCAGGACTGGAGGCCGGGTCTCTTGCCTTGCAGTCCGGAACTAGTTCCGAATGGACCTCTCACTTGCCTATCACAACTCCCCTCCGATATTTTGCTTCCATCCCTGCTTCCATAAAACCAAGTAATTGCCATTAGAAATGGGCCCCTTCCCTCACTAAAAAGTTCCTTCCACTAAATCTTCCCAATAACCTGCATTCCCAGAAATCTGCCCTGAGGGTCCCTGCCCCTTTCTCATCTTGAGACCCCGTGACCCTTCTCCTCCACCTCCCTTTTGCTGGGGACAGGGGAGAGGAGGGATTGTAAATCAAGAGCTGACAATTCCCTTGGTGGCAGTAACAGAATGGGCCACCCACATGGCTCAACACACTTCACTCTGCCCCTGTCTTTCCCCTACTCCCCCAAGTTCTGGGGGCTCATGGACCTTGGATCTAGAGGCTACAAAGGAACAGAATTAGCTTAGCCAGGAATAAGGGAGCACCCCCCCCCAACCCCGTGAGAGGCCTTGGGGCAGAGACCCTGCTAGCAACCCCCCAGCCCAATCTGTTCAGCTTTCCTCAACACCCTCCCCCACCCACCGCCCCCATCTAGTGTGTAGCAAGGCTGCCCATAGCTAGTCGGAGACTGGGAACCCAGGCAGCAAGGACAGACTGGCAGTGCCCTGTTTCCCAGTGGGTCAGATTCCAAGGTCCCAGGAAAGTTCTGTGCTTGTCTGACCTCATGCGTGCCCTCTGTCCCCTCCTCTTCTTCCCAGCCCTGAGCAGGGAGGTTATAAAAAGTCCCTAAACACAAGGACCAAAATAGTTTACTGTCCACTGCCTCTTCTCTGCCTTCTGGGCTGGCCTGGATGCCCAACCTCAGATGTCCCACCCTAGAAGCCTGGCAGCCATCCTAGTGGTCTTCATCCCTTTGCCCACCTTCTCCCAGTCCTGGAGTTGGTGGTCCCAACTCTGCCCAAGGCAGTGGCTCTAGACATGGGCCATCTTCCAGGGTCACTGGCTTGGCCTGGGTCCCTCCCACCCTGGCCCTGGTCTCAGGATGCACTTACCTCTGCGTGGGAAGGCTGAATTGCAGGGTCCTTGGGCAGGTCCAGACTGAGGGCAGCAGGGACAGCAGGGACTAGAAGTAACTTTGGTGGCAGCCAAACCTCACTCTCCACAGGAAAAGCGGAGAGAAGCCTCCACCCCCCCAGATTAACCCTCGCCTTCCTGACCCAGAGCCTGGCCTCCGTTAACTCCTTCCTGATCACACTGTCTCAGTGCAGGGAGGCCTGTGAACCAGGTCCAGCTCCTTCATTTTACAGATAATCAAACAGGCCCTGCCAGGTTAAGTGATTTGCCATGGAGGCACTGGGACCTTGGGGTAGAGCCACGACCTTAAACAAGGCCTCCTGATCCCAAGGCTTCCTCCAAAGGCCTGGGGTGGGGTGTAACTCATGTGGGGTCAGTCGCTTCCTCTGGGCATTGGCAGATGCTCTGACAATTTGAATGGGAAAGCAGAGAAGGGTTCTAGTCGCCTTGCTTTTTTCCCTCTGTGGCAGGCTTAGACCTGTCCTGGTCTGGGTGTTGGATGGTGTCAAGCCTGCTCTCCCTAGGGGTGAGGCCAGGAATCTGCAGCCTAAGGGTGGGGGCAGTGTGCTGCAGATGTGTGGGTGAGCCTGTCCCAGCAAGTCTTGGCAAGAAGGTCACCCAGGAGCCCATTGGACTGTCTCTGCCCAAGGTGCTCTGATGGCAAATGGGATTGGCTGGGAAGAGGGTGATGAGGGGATGATTCTGGGGCCAAGCCTGGGTCCTTTTGGCCCCTTCCTTCTCTGCCTGCATTTGAGGACTCCTAGAGCTTGCAATTTCTTCTCTGATACCGCATGTCTCAAGGTGAAGCCCTGCCCCACGGGAGAGCTCCTACCCCTCACCCCAGAAGGTAAACTCCAGCACCCAGAGTTCAAAAACCAGTGCCCCTACCAAGGGGTCCCTGCCCCCATCTAGCTGGCCATTTTCCACAACTTCCTCACCTCCCTCCTAGCACTTTTTAATGTTTGCAAAGCACATAGACATCTGTGCTCTCTGATGTCCTTTGATCTCCACTAAGAGCCCTAGATGGCACCCAGTAGGCATGACCAGCCCCTCTTAATGGCTAAGGAAACCAGAGCAGTGAGGGAGAGAGACATGCCCAAAGCCCAACTCCAAATCCACTCTTTCTACTGCCTGCCAAGTAAGGTAATGAGTTTGAAACCCAAGGCCCATCTCCTGGTAAGAGATTTTTATTACCTAGTTAAAGAGAGGGCTTATTTTGTTTTTTGGTTTTTTGTCCATGATAGTTCCATGTCGTGTTGTTACAGCACTTTACAAAATGCTTGCCAGGTACATTGTCACAATTAATCCCCAGGACAATCTTTGGGGAGTAGGTTTTATTATTTTCCCCATTTACATCTGAAGAGATTGAAGCTCAGGGAAGTGAAATGATTTATCCAAGCTCACACAATTAGGAATAATAGCAAAATTTTATTGAGAGGTTAATATATGCTAAGGGCTATTCTAAGTACTTCACGCAATGATTAGCATATTTAATCCTCAAAGCAATTCAATGAGATGGTACTTTCGTTCTCCTAATTTTATAGATGAAGGTTGGGGTGCAGCCCGGAGCCCTGAGATCTGGCCATGAAGGGGTTAAGCACAGGGCGGCTGGGCGGGGACCTCGGGGATGCTGTCAATGGCAGGAAACCTGGCCGCGCAGGGGGGGAGGATGGGGCTGCTGTGTCTGACTCCTGATGCAACCCCCATCCCTTTGGTCTTAAAGGAGCATCCGGGTTGGGTGGAAGGGCTGGCAGGGGCCCCCTTCACAGCTCTTTCCTAGGGATCGAGGACAGATGCTGGACTAGGAAGAGAGGGATTCAGAGTGCAGTGCAGGTGCTGGCCTGGGGGCCCTCCAGTCACAAATGACCCTGCCTCCCCTCAGGAGAGCTCATTCAGAGAGGGGAGACAGCCCCAGTTCTGGGAGTCCCCAGTCAGAGGGTGTGACACAACTCTGCCTTCAGGAGTCTCCAGAGGGGTGTGAGGGGCTGACTAGGGAGCCCTGCTCTCAGGAGCTCCCAGTCTGAGGGGTGACAGTACCCTGTCCCGGATGCCAATGGACAGAGTCCTGGGAGACCAGCAGAGACCCTCTGCCATAGAGACAGAGCAGGGTCATTGAGGAAGGTCAAAGTGGATGGGCTTTCTGTAAGGGACCCTCGACAGAGTCAGCAGTCATGGTGTAGGAAGGGAGGGGGGCTATATCTTTTGGCCACACACTTGCTTTGAGCCTGGTCATTTCTCTTTCTGATCATGGGTCTCTAGGGAGATCCTTAAAGTGGTTCCAGCCTAGAGCTGGGACCTCTAGTGAGGGGGGAGGCTCAGTCTGAGAGATGTTTCCTTCCTAGTTCCGACCTCATTCCCAGATCAACTTGAGGATCTATCGGGAATGGGTCTGAGTCAGAACTGTCTCCTTCCAGGACAGGTGGTGGGAGGATGGGGGAGCAGCTCTGGTCAGTATCGGGAATAATGAGATGGGTCAAGGAGGCCCTTGTGATCCAGCCCCAGACCCCACGTCCACATTGTCAAAGAGGTGGTGTGTGTCCCCTCCCTCACCAGCCAGCTACAGCCCCCACGCACAGCCCTCCGCGCCTCAGCCTACCACTGGCTGTGTGGCCTCAGGCAAGAACTTAACCTCTCTGAGTTTCCTTCTGTGTAAAATGGGAATGACGAGAGCCAGCCCTGGTGTGGAATGAGGATGCAGAGAAGTGGGGCTGACAGCACACGGCACCTCAACGTGCTCCAGAGGTGTTAGATCAATCCTACTCCAGCTTTCCACCCTCACCATCACCTTTCTGACATGCCCACCGTAAGTCTTTTGTCCTAATCCCACAGTCTTAACTCCCAGCTGCTGGTGACAAATCATTTGGAGCACCTGCGCTGCTGGGCCGTGGGGTCAGCAGCTGGGTCAGACACGGTTTTGCTCTCAGGAGCTCAGCCTGCTGGGGGTGGCAGAGGCCTGAAGGACCATGACAACTGAGATCAGTGCTGCTCTAGCAGAGAGGGGAAGAAAGCAGGGACAGGGGAGACGAAGGGGGGGGGCTTGTTTTGTCCGGGGTGGGGCGGGAAGCTTCAAAGGGAGGGGTATCTGAGCTAGGCCTGGAAGGAATTTTTGTTTGGGTTGGGGGTGGGGGAGACGGCGAGAGCTGAGGTCTCAGTGAGGGCAAGAGTCTAGGGAAGGGGTTACTGAGGGGGTGGGGAGGCTCGGGAGGGC